AGTCTCAGAATCAGCAAGTTCTGTAGGGCACTCACTAGTTGGGTGTTTCGCGCTTGGGCTCGGCTTATGAATTATAGAGTATTGCTCATCGCGTGACTGGTAACACTCACGAATGGAGTGTTAGTGAGTGCCTCGTATCTCGCTTGTCACAGCAACGCTCTGCCTGTGAAGACATATTCGCCCTCCATACTGACAACATTTTTGGTAGAGCATGAGATGGAAATTGTGTGAACGAGGGAAGCGGTTACAGTACCACGCGCTGCCATTAGATGTTGAAGTGAGCGAGGACATTCGTTCGAAGACGCGGGACGATCACACGAGACTTGTCGAGCATAGATCAGACATGAATTCCACGTTAAGACAAAGATTTGATCTACGCAGTCAAATTATTCTCCTAACTACTAAGACAATAGAAGTTACAGGTGAACGCGTTTTAACTATTGTGATGAAGAGAATTTATGGCGACGGGCATTAACAGTGGAACTTGCCGCCACCTCCGCTTCAAATGAAACTGTTGGGTCAAGACTGAAGACGAGCTCCAGTGAAGAAAGGGAAATGGCAGACAACGACAATAATATCTGCATCAAAGCAGTTTACAAAGGGAACAATCTAAGCCCTGGCCGTGGCCCTCTGGTTAGATGGGCCATGAATTCTCATCAATCATTTCATACATGGTTCTACTTCTAGAGAATAAGGAAGTAGAAAGATACTTCTATTTCTATTGTGGGCTACCATCCTTTAGCTGTAGACGATTTATGATTTTCACCGAGTGTCATGATAGAAGGGCGCTATGAGGAGACGTTGCATCCTCCTCAAGTGATTTGGGGTGATATTCAATATTGCACATTCCACCAGTGGTATCATCGACTTTACTATTGAGTATGTAGCCTACAGTTCATATGTAATATTCTAAAAAGGATACCATTGAGTGGCAGATGGATGAACCTAACGGAATAAGACGGGGCTTGTCCCCAAATTATTTGAGGAGATATGCAAAGACAAGAAGCCAATTAGAGATTTTCTGAGTTGCAAGAATGAGCGCCTTTGGTTTATGTACCTCAAGTTTCTATGGCGCATTTGTGTATGGAATGGACGTAGTATGTACAGTGCAGGCACATGTATGGTATAATTATAATCAAGAGGTGTCTGATTGTATATGTCTTTGATGAAGGTCATTGTCACCTGTAATTAGAAGCCACTAGGTTATCTTTCTTCCCTACTTGTGTCATGATTTTGACTTCATCCACATGACCTAAACCTCATTTAGTACATGTAAGAAACATACTTTATACACGCTGAGTATGTTTGCGCCACTATCCTCTCTCTAAGGATGCAGCGGAACGATATTCCCCATGAAAGGTAGTATTTTTCTCGCTGCGCCTGTACATACTACATATTCCTTCGAGTTCTCGGATGTTCAAAGACGATGGAGTCCTTGGATATGGTTTAGAAACTAGCTCTCATTCAATGTATTTCTCTTTAGTCATGTGAAATTCCTATCACTCCATTTTCAAGTCCGGGATATGATTCTTGTTAAGCCTGGGAAGCTTCATGCTTCCTATCTTTGATATTTTCTATACTCGAGAGAGTGTGTTTACCAGTTTTAGTTGAATTTAGAAATTTTTGAAACACCAGTTTCAGCTGAATTCTGCTTCTGTTTTGTTGACGATAGCCAAAGGATGGCATAAGAATCATAATCACCCTGTTCGTACTCCATACGTAGACGATTCTGATGGAGATCACAAGCTACTAGAGTCAAACAGGTGAACATTACTGTGAGAATGAAACTTACTCATTCTACAGCGTACGAGTATCACTCTGTTGCTACAAGAGTTGTAGATACGTGAGTGAAAGTGTCGAAAGTTCCCGCCTATCTTCTAAAATCTTCTTTACAAAGAACCAGACGTCTATGTCACCTAGACGGCACATTTGAAGAGAAGGTATCTATCCATTGGGATAATCATGGATGCCTGCCTACGTCGAGTGCACAGCAACTGAATGTCAAAAGAAACAGTAGTCGCACGATCAGCTTGTCCTAACTCAACCGGGTTCCTAGTTGGCTCCTGACTCTTCGATGTGATGAAGCCTCCTCATTCAGTGTAAAGAGATCTTACCACGAGATTGTCCAAGATCAAAGAGTCATGTAACCATTCATAGGGGCCCAGCCCCAGGCCCCTCCCTTCTTCTGAATCACTCTCCCGAGCCCGTGTGCCAAGCTTAACTCTCCTAGTTAGAAGAAAGAGATTAGTAGATTTATCCCCAGTGCTAAAAGAAAGGATGTGGGACGCTCGGAATGAAAATCATATGGCAGAGAACAATCATGAGTCTCCAACCTTTCATCCAAGATTTACTCCATGTACGTGGTGGAATTGATCAGTTCACGGGGTTTTAGAGAAAAGACACCTACTGCAGCTAAATTATGTTTATCTCTGGGGAAATATCTCTCCGTAAAGCTGCGGATGTTTGAGAACTGTCGGAAGCTGACAGCCTGAACCTGATTTCAATCCCAAAACCCCATCAGCTTTACATTGCTGAGTAAGTCTAAAAGCAAGGCTACCACGAGAAATAAAAAGCGGAACGGACACCGAGGAAGGCACAATTTATAATATCTGGGGGCACCGTAGAAGAATGAGTGGTGTAGCATAAGAAGAAGATGACAGACGTCTGGACTCTGGACAAGTGAACATACGTCTGTAGGAGTCTTCCGACGGGGTGAGCATGTGAAGAATGGAAAGAATCAGAACGTACCCAAGCTACATGAGCCGAATGAGGATCGAGAAACATATAACTGTACTGCATGATATGTGAAACAGAAAGCATGTCAACATGATTTCAGTGCTACGTATCAACAAGATTTAAGGATGGGATGAAAAAAAATCTCAGGTCTCTACACTCTGAGACAATTAAGTGCCACATTGTTAAGCTCAAGCTGCTTGGGAAATTGACTTCTATAATAAGAATCCACCAAATGAGGAGCGCTTGGGAACAAGATCTGCAACATAAAATGAATGAAGAAGAGGCTACCGAACAAGAAGAAAGTAGGACTTTGAAGGTATTTGAAGGAGATAAGAGCAGTTATGAGGGACATAAACAGAAAGACGTGGACTCCGAATCTGAATTGAAGGACTTCAGCTAACTTTACAAGAAATCCCTGTCAATCAAGAATGGTTCATATGCGTGCTGTTTACAAATGACCAGCCTTGTGCACGCTGAGCTGATCAGTGCGTGACTCGAAGATGTCTGTAACGAGGAGTCTGCACATTATCTGGTATGGCAGACCTTTCAGGGCATGCTGTTCGGTTATGGCAAATTACGGAATCTTCCAGTGTATTTTTGAAGCTTCAACCTCTTCATCAATCACGCTAGCAAGATCGGTAGAATTTGAAGCAACTTTACGAAAATAATAATGAAACCATGTGAATGAGATAAACAGGAATCAGCACATAGTTATATAAGATCTACGAACTCCAGGTAGAGGTTACATCTAAAGGACGCACTACAGTATGAAAATTCGTCTTGATATTTTGCAAGAATACATGTCATTTAGGCTTCGGAGAGGGAGAAGCATTTGGTGGAGAAAGGTGATTAAGTTTGGACATTTTTTAAATATTTGAACACAGTAGCTACGATCGCGCATGCCTTCCTAGGTGCTTGGAGACAGACTACACTGCCGAAACTAGAATTGATCTGAACTTCGTTTGAAGTCCAACGCAGGGAGCAGCTCAAGATCCACCAGCGACTGGTGATGGACTGGTGGTGGAGATCTGGACTAGGCACATTGTTAGGTACTATGTAACCATTAATATCGTGCTCTATATGTAGAATTGATTATTGTTGGGAGATGTCGGGTCGGTGGCAGACGCGTAGTAGAAAGATCCCGCATCAATTGTCCATTCCTGGATGCGGTCTCTAGAGTTGGACGGCTTCACAGAAACATTAGCAGCCTTGAATTGTCGCACAGAGACAAATCTAGACCTCAAGGAAAGAAATGAATGAAGAATCGTTCGATGCTGAGAGAGGCAGGTCTGAAAGACCTTCCTCGTTTCTTCAGAGTGAATTCTAGATCTGATCATCTAAACCGAATTCTAAATTTTTAGTCTCTTCGAAACTACAGGCTGTGTGATGTTAAAACCTTCAGATCTAAAAATGTAGTTTCAAAACTGACTGTCACCTATCGTTCCTCATGATTGAAGGATGTTCCAGCCTTCCCGTACCTGGCAAAGCGAAGCTGGATGATATAAGCGCCACGCATAATATGAGCGGAACTCACTTGGATGTGCTCGGCAATTACGATTGTCTGCACTAAAATACAAAGACGATTGCATGAACCCCACGTTTTAACGAAGTGATTTGACTGTGTCAGCTGTGACGCGTAATCACTCAAAAGCCTCAGGCACACAACTGCACACTTAGCATTATTAATCAGAATCCAGGCTAGAAAAACAGTTCCAGATGTTTGTCTAAGACAGCATCGAAACACCTCCGTCAGAAGACTCCGTTATGTTTGCAGCTGCAACGAGACGAGTTAGATCTACATACCGCTCATAAACCGATCGTGAGCCACAAAGACGTGGAAATTCTACAGTCTTTTAGGTTGGCATGATTTTTGGTTGTAAGAAAGGGTACATGAACTGGGTAAAGGGCACGTACATGTGGTCAGATCATCTGCAAGCTCTTCACAAACGAGAAGTTCATTTTCACATTCACTTTGAACTGCACACTGAGAAAATTTCCAATGTCAGCATCCAGAGCGCACAGTTATATGCACAATATTCTAGATGAAATTTGAGTTTCATGTCCAGAATAATCCGTATCGTTACGAGCTTAGAAGAGAATGAAGTACCTGATTGCTGCTCGTCTGTTCTGATATGTTCAGAGGGCCTAGGGCCTGCAGTGTTGATATGACCATGCACAACCTCAAGGAATGATACATGTTAGCAAATTAAGACATCAAACCCAATCGATCATTATCTGACTTGGCTTCACTCGTTAGAAGATTAGAAATTTTCATCTACTTCCAGATCCTGAGTTCCTTCCACGGAAATCTCAAGGGAAGGAATCCAGGATCTAAAACCAGATCAAAATTTCACAGTAATACACATGATGCTCGAACTATCAGCAATCGATCCACAGCATATAGTTCACACTTGCCCTCCCATATTTATACTCCAAAACCAGTAGATGGGGGAAATTTTACCAGCGAGGGAGACAGGTCAGATGCACTAAATAAAGTGACCCGGTGCACTCGATTTGTCAAAAGCATCCAGTGACATGAAAGCTATGATTCCGGTGTTCTTCCCACTGCAAGGAAGGACTATGCTGTACAGTTGAAGCACAATATTCAGGTTTACATGCCCATTCCGTGAACAAACGAAGAAAAGACAATTGATTGACTTGTTGCAGCAGCAGGTCAGGTGATGATGATCTGTCGATGCAAGTAGTACAAGATGCGGTCAATATGATTCTGCCCATGGGAACTTTTCAGCGTGAAGCCGTCCATAGCTATTATGAAATTCGAAGATAAACCCGCTCGCAATGATCCATTCCAGCTTATAGCAATTTATGCTAAGCCAGCCACAAACTTGAAGCCTGTATTAGGGTCGTTTACTGATAATTGGTTTTTTTTTTAAAACGTCATTTATTGGTGACATATGCATCATGTTTTGTGATATACTTGATGGCTGCAGTTTATCACCTAGTTTCGAGGCATCGATATAATATTCTCTCTTTGATGTGATAGGTCAAGTGATACAGGGATCATCTGGCTTGGCCTTCAGTGTAAGTACGGTTTGACTGCAGTCTTATGTAGTATCCACGCAGTTTAATAACAAACGCAGAGAGCAGTTACCAAAAACTTCTTCTTTGAGATCAAGATCTGGTGTGTGCTTTCAAGGCTGGTTATCCTTGTCTAATAAAATCTCTGACTGGAATAGCAGGTAAGGGACTTATCCTGCCTTATGTAAGACTGTACCTCATACCTGGTCACATTGCAGGTGGAATGACGGACCGATGGAGCTCTTGTACGTACTCTAGAAGGAGTTGCAGTGTCTACAGGTCTTACAACCAAGGCGTCGGACGATCAGAAAATCTACTCGTCACAACAACATAAAATAAATTTTCTGATGCTATGGATGCAATGATGGAGAGTAGATTTTTGTGGAGAATTCGGATAATTGTGAATACTTAGACTTAGAAGCGGGGTCTGGATACATCACTCGGAGCTGTATGAGTTCCACAACGGAATGCTGTACTACTCATAACAGTATTACTCATGCTTTGAATTGCTGTAATGGTTTGCTTTGAAGCTCTTAGGTTCGATCAGATCTTGCAATCTTTCACGGGGATGTTCTTCGAGAAATATATGTACGAGATATTAGACATGGGGTCTCATGTACACGTATATATACTCCTGGAAGACTGACTTCGTATCTCGTGCAGCTTCCACTTACTAATCTATTGATCCCGTTTCAAATCGACGTTCTTCTACAGACGAAGGATGGAAATGAAAGCTCGTCTTTTGCATTGGCAGAGCGCCAGAATCTAGTAAAGGAAAACGTGGCTAGCACAGGATTCCTATCCTTCTCTTACAAATGGCGTATACTGAGCACTGCTATAATAAGAATAGTTGCTGACATCCCATCTTCATTCTCGACGAATCTAGGTGAGACTTACACGCCTCTAACATAAACAAATAAGCTTATCCATAACTTAAGGTTCATGAGATTCCCATCAACATGAGCTTGAGGAAGGCAAACTCTTGAACAGTGCAGAGAATCCAAATCACACAATCCATCAATCTCAGCCATACTCATCATGAGATGATCATCTCAACCTCGTGCTTCACAGGAGGCATCCATCTCGAGATACACAGAATTTTAGGAGTCGTCGGTAGTATTAGTGCCCTCGAACAGAAATCGCGTAAGTGGATGTACGCAGCAGCAGCAGCGCTTGAAGAGCACAAAAATCAGAACTTCTGTGAGTAGTTGTTGGTTGGTTTTGGATCAGTTTGGTGGAATCTTCTATTAACGCGCACAAGAGGTTTCGACTTTCGGTGGGGCCACAATTTCCTTAATAATGGAGTCTTATGTGGGTCTCACTCACGCGTACAATCCCGCTTGCCAATCAGCCTTGTACGCTGCGAGTGGGAGCCGCTGGCTGCATCTTCAGCTTTCTATCTCGCGTGCAATTTTTTATTCCTCCATCGACCTGTGGACGATGTCGCCAACATCGGAGCACTCACTGTTTGTACTGTTTTATGTCCAAGGGCTTCCAGTCTACTCGAGCACATCCCTCGAAGCCAAGTAATTGGCCGCTATCATTTCATTAAATGTGCGCCTAGACTAGCTCTCATCATCAGCAGTCGCCGAGTACTGGCGATGTCGTCCATTCTGATGATCACCGGCGAATATATTATGGGCCACCATTCTGACATACATCATTCGCTTCCGGTAATTCGGTAATTCCGGATGCTATCAATTTCATGTGACCTTGTGGGGCAGGTTAATCTTCTTGTCGCCTCCAGATTCAACCCCGTTTCCCTAAATCGTCCGCCGTATTAGCCGCGGTTTCTTGAAGAACTACATCTTTGTCCATAACTTCAAAACGACCAGCTACTTTTCTGGTATTCATCCTACAGCGTATCATCAATAGAATCCACCTTTCCGCCCGAAAGAGTTACATTTCCGTCCCAACAGTAGGATACATATCATGTCACATGTGCGCAGATGACTTGTAAGTCGATATCGGAGGAGATATGGAATCAGCGTTGTTTTGATATGATGAAAATGTAATTTATATTGTACTTAAAGTTGTAAATGAATAAAAATACTTCTATTATTTATATTGTGATTAAAAAATTAGCTTGCTACTATTATTTATAATATGATTATATTTTTTTTAAATGTAATTTTTTGTTTAATATTTAATCAAGTATTGTAAAATAAAGTGAATAATAGTTAATTCAGTTAATATAATTATGATTAGTATGTTATTGATAATTTCCCATGATTCAATCTAGAGTTACAATTGTCTCTTTCTATGTTGGATGTCTAGATTTTGCATTCATATCTTCCAATAATAAAATTATAAATTACAATTAAGAAATATTTGAATTTTTCTTTAATCTAATTATATAAAAAAATGAATAATGATACAAATTTTTACAAATCTAAAAAAAAATTGAACTAAGTTTCATAAAATTGATATATATGGATATTTTAAATAATTTGGTTGAATAGATAAGTGAAAAAATTAACATCAATACAAAAAATCAAAAATTTAAAATCATAACATAAATGTGATACATATTTTAATAATATTATTATAAATATTTTTTTAATATTTATAAATTAAATTATTTTTTATAATTTTTAAATAAATTATTTTAATATTTTTAGCCTTTCTATCAATTATTAAATTATACACTAGAGTTGGATTGACATTTTAAACTTTAAACTATATATGGAGATATTGTTGAAGTTAACTCCGATGAAGGAGTATTCTCAGGTTATAGTTATTTATAGCTAGGTGTGTCGTTGGCATTGGATATAAATATAGTCCCAAGGCTTCTAATCGGGAGAACATTCAATATTCAGCATTTAATAGATATTCTCGTGTGTTTCAGAAGTATACGTAGTTTCTGAGGGTGAACCAAGTCATATGAGTGTCCCGTGTGCTTTTATTTGGCTTCAATGATTCCTCTTTTAAAAATTTTCACATTTAAAAATTGGTTTTAGAGCAGGCTTATGACTCAGAGTTTGGACCTAGGGTTTTTGTTATGTGTTTTTTCACTTATGTGTACATTGAAAATTTTGGTTTACTTTTTTGAAAGATTGTTAATAGAAGAAAATTTTTGTTTAGTTTCTTTTTTAGTTTTCTGAATCATGTTGATTGTTTTTCTAGTTTCTTTTTCAGTCTTTTGAATCTTGTTATCAATTTTTTCAATTTCTTTGTTAGTTTTCAAAACCTTGTTGACAGATTTTTCAATTTTTTGGTTAGTTTTCAGAATCTTGTCAATAGTTTTAAGTGCAAAAGTATTTTTTCAGTTGTGTCTCTATCAGTTTTCTTTTATGTAGTTGACGCTTTGCTGACATGTTATTTAGTGAAAAGTTTCCACTTACGGTTATATGAAAATGCTTTTAAATTCTATTTTTCCTAAATGTTGCTAAGTTTTTGGTCGAAGCTTGAACTTATTGATTCTAACAGTTCTCAACAACTATTTTTAAAGCGTACTTTGTGAGATAGTGATTGAAATGACACACTTCGAAGTTGGATTCTAATAGTTTTTAAAGGTACCTATCGATTAAGGTGAAAAAATGAAACATCTTATTATGAGTGATTGAGATTGGGAAGAGAAGAGAGTCAAAAGCGGAGCAGACTGCCCGTAGAAACGCGACGGCAAACTTTTCTTTTTTGAGCACTGGGCCTCATAGGAGCGATGAATTTCACAAGTATTCAGTTTTCAAAGACTTCCTGCGCATGTAGGGTGTATGTTCCCCCCCCCCCCCTCCCCGCCTTTACTTCCACGTGGCCCACTTCCGAATGGCGAAGCGGCCAACGCAACCCCCAATTTTTTCTCCGATGCTTTTCAAAGTAATTCTTTTGGGAAAAAGTTCTAGGGAAAAGACAACCTTGCAACAGTCATGTTTAGTTATGCCTACTGCCCTGGGTGACATGTGGCACCTTCGCATAACGCACATCCAATACCGCCTCTTCCATTTTGCTTCCAGAGACTCTCGCCATGACCGCTCACTACACTACTGGGCTCGCAACAGGAACTCAAGGTTTCACTTGGATCAAGGATGAACCTGATGATCCAGTCAACGACTATTCAACGAAGAGTCAACAGAAATTAGTCATCAATCAGAACGATGTAGCATTCCAAATTTATTCTGATCAAGTCTCTGCTAGAATCTTCAGTAGCTCAAATGATGACTCTGTTCATATGAAAGATTATGAAGTATATATCTAATCTCCCATATCACACTCAACTGATGTTCAGTGTACTTGCTGAAAGAATCTGTCTCAGTTCTTGGATAACTTATGAAGCTTGATTAATATAGCTCCTCAGTTACCTAATGACAGAAGCA